ATCTAGAGGTAGGAAGTACATGTTTTAAAGATTAAAAGGCATAGAATGTTTTAATATATGGACCAATGTGTATGTTGATAGTTCATTTCAAGTATGCTATTAAAGCTGGTAATTCTTTTGAAATCAATATATGAACGTATTAAAGCTTATTTTGAGATACTGTTATTTAGATATTATTTAAATGTGATGATACATTTAGTTGCATAACACTTTGTCACATGGCCCAAGTATACCTTTCAACACAACTGGATCTTACTTAATATTCCCAAATGTTGCCACTTAAATAATACATTACTCCTTTTTACTCTGCGCCGGGTTTGATGTGGACAGCGGATCTCTGTGCGCTGACTTGCAATATGAGAACTATGCAGAGCGCCCAGAGATGTACCTCAGGGGGGATTCAAGATGTGAGGGGAACCTGAGTATAAACACCTCAGATTAGAGATGAGCCAGAGGAGATGGGTCACTTGTCAGGAGGTATGTACCTGCAGCTCAGCACTTTTGGCAGGCGTCACCCTCTGCTTTCTTCTGCTTGACTCTCCGTCTTCCTCTGACTTCTGCTCCGCGGGAACGGCTTTAGGGTCAGACCGGGCCTCCTTCTGCACAAAGTTATTTCAAGATCACAGAACAATGAGTGTGATTAGCATGAAATCCCCTTGTGATCACAGAGCACGAAGACCCTGAGCTTCTCTGTCTTCAATTATGTAAGCAGACATCCATCTCACTAATCACCGTGAGCTTCTCACCAAGTGCAGGAACTTTTTCCTGGTTATTTTGTCCATTAAAGGTGTGTGTGTGTGTGTGTGCGTGTGCGTGCATGTGCGTGTGTGTGTGTGTGTGCAGTTTGGTCTCAAGATTCCCCAAAATTAAAAAAAAGTAGAATTTATATAAAACTAGGGATTTTTAGAGATCTGTTTATTTATATTGCTCACACAATTTCTAAGGTCATAAAGAGTCTCAATAGTTCAGTTTTTTTAGGGGTAGGGAAAGATGTCTGAAGACAACTGTAAATAAATACCAGGGTTGTGTTCAAATTGTCTTTTAATAATGACAGTTCCTAACAGAGTCAAATTACCCTGAAGTTCCTAAATGCTGTTTCTCTAGAAGATCATAGGAAAGGACATTCAATTCTTCCAAAGTTTCCTCATTTAGTGTAGGATAGACTGGACCCTCTCTTATGAAATCCAAGGAAATAATGCTGTCCCATAATTCCTTGAAGATGAATTTAATATGAAGCAGCAATCAGCCTTTCACGTATCGACGACCGTGACCGACAAATGTGGATCTCACAAATTACAATGCTTATTAATCATTTTCCATCTTATGCCACATTATTAGTGCCTATATATTTAGAACTTTCAACACCATGTTAAACCAAAAGGCAAACTATAAACATTACCTTAATTACTGTAAAATTATCAAATTAAGTCATTGTGATTGCTTATTTCGGTGGACATTCTTAAGCAATTTTTATTCAACATGTTTGACTGCTTACATGCACAGCTAGCTTTAGTCGATGTGTAGGCCTAGAAAGGAATGTATTCATTGATGGAAATATTATTTATTCAAATAGTCATACGATCAGATCACTACTAATCCGGATTCATGTTGATTAATATGAGTGGTCAGGATGCTGAGCGAAATAAATTCCAATGCAGACCATTTACATGCACACAAACTTATATAACACTACAGGAAAGAGAAACCCCGAAAGCAAAAGCTTCACCTCATGACGTTTTTCACTTAAAGGTGGGGTAGGTAATTTTGGAGAAACTTAGCTCGAGTGTGCTAGAATTTGAAAATACACAACCGGAGAAAATCTGCCACTTCCTCACAGAGCCCCTCCTCCAACACACACAAACGTGCACATGACCAATGAGGGCACAAGATAAGTCTGTGCACAGATGGAAGGCTGACAGGCAGGTAGGCCATCCAGTTATTTTAGCCGGGCTGGCTAAAATGATTGGTCGTGCTTTTTACAGTACTACGGCTTCCACAGATGACATTTTTTTATGGATTTGTTGTCAAAGCACTTAAGATATTCATTGCTATCAGGATGTTAAGAGCATTCCATGGAATATAACAATAAGTGTATCTCGAGCCGGTTTCTCAAACTTACCTACCCCACCTTTAATTTAGGATAAAGTGGTTGGGAAAAAACATAAGACCAGATTTCTTTACAATTTAACCGCAGCCCAGGTATGCCTGCTGATTACTCTGTCCCAACATGAGGCTGGTAATGCCACATGCCTACACAGCTGAAATAATACATCAACAGATGTCAACACCCAATGTTCTAAACATTAAGTAAACCATTTAAATTCCTTATATACCTTTAGAAATGTTTTGTACCTTCAGCAATTTAGTATTGCATTTTCAAAAAGATGGGGGAATTGAAAAGTGATTTGAAAAATAAAAGATATGCTGGGTTTTATGTCATAGTATGAGTCAAGCTACAAAAACAGAGGGATCAGAAATGTCCAATAAAACAACTCAACAGCATTTTTTATTAAGTTGCATCAAATTTGGTCCAGAGCCACGAAAGGCATTACACAATTGGAGAAGTGCCCCTTGAAGACAATTTTGATCTTTTTATGATCTATTTCAGAAATCCATTCCATGCCGTGAGGCTCTAAAGCAAACTTCTTGAATTAAGGGATAAAGACAATAAAGTTATTTGGCCCTCAAGGGTGTCTGATCTAAGAGATTTGGTATTCAAATGGTCAAAAGTGGGTAAAAGTAATATATTGTTTAATATTTCCAATAGTCTTGGTTCTAGTTCTGATCTCTTCATTATATTCCAATTCCAAATAAACTGTTGAATTACAACGTTTTCCAACTGGAATACAGCGCCTATAATGCTCTATTTACCAGACATATTGTATCTATACATACAAATTATGTGGAAATGCAAATATTGGTTAAAAGCACCAGTCCACATTCCAAACTTACTTTGTTCGGGGACTTGAACCGGCAACCCTTGGGTTCCCAAATCAAGGGACTTAGCTACTGCCGCCCATTTGTATAAATGTATGTATAAACATCAGTGTCCTTTACTTTTGTAATTTATAAAGTACCCTCTGTTTATATATTTTTGTTTTAGTAGTATATTGGTCTATTAAAGAGTATTCTAAATGATTATGTATATTTGACATTGTGTATTCTTAAGATTCTCTATTGATATATACCTTCACTTTTGTTAATACAGTATGTATATATTTACTGTTCATGTTTATATTTGTTATGAATTCTATTTGTATTTTATCTTGTGTTATTTTTAACTCATGCCGCTTATGGATGAATAAAGTACATGTAATAGAATATGCTACCTGTGTGTGAGAGTCCCAGAGAGTACACAGATACAGGGGCTCCTCCTGCTCAGCCATCAGTCTGAGGTACTTCCCCATCAGACTCAGGCAGCGCGCTCTGCTCTCCAAGCTATTCGGAGAGAGAGACCTGACTGCAGCCAGCTGACCCAGAGCCAGCTGCCCCGAGGTGGAGCCCACAGTCACCCACTCCTGGAGGAGACACAGGGACGTTAGGGTCGTATGAGGACACGGATTGAGGACAAGCAATACTTACTTGTTCTATCATCTGACAAATAGTTTTGTGAATACACAAAGCTCCTGATGCTCAGGACTTTGCTGAACAGAAACACCTCTAGGAAGCAAATCCTTTTTCTTTTTCTAGTCTTACAAAGAAAATCGATTTGAAAGCTGTTCAGTATGGGAAAAACACCTTGTTTACCATTGTCATTGCTTGAGATGAAGCTTATCTTCAGATACTTTAAACTCTGCAGCCAGAGAAAAAATGGACACTCTCCTCACCCTCTGGTATTTTAGTTTATCCAATCTTAGGCTCGATACTAAAATGAGAGTTGTTTGAAGAAGATCGCTCTATTTCCTACTGAATTAACAAACGTGTTAGTTTAAATCCATTGAGGAACCTTTTTTTTTATCAATATGTAGATTATAACATATGTGGGGCCTCTTGCTTGTTATTTGATAGAGCAGCAAAGTGTAGCTAACAACATTACATTTGTAAGCATGGTTATCCCATTCAGTTTTGGGCAACAACACACCGGTTTCTGTGTGTTGGTTTTTCTTGGTATATTGAAAATAAGGGGGTTTCTGAGCCAAGAGAAGTCGCCAAATGCCCAGTACTTGGTTTTTTATTTTATTGGAAAAATACATAATTCAATCCTAAAGTTAAAGCCCTTATACACTCTAAAATTCAAGTATAAATATACTCTTATGAGTAGAACACTTGTCACTGTGCTGAGTACTTGAAAGGACCCACCGTCCCCCCAAAATAAGACATATGGGTTTATATGTGTCTCTAAGAAGCAAAACATTTGCCATCAATTGTTTGTTTGCCTTAAGTGATTTGTGTTGAAGAGTGGTCAAAAATAAGAGGCTTATAAATACAAATCAGCCTGTGGATTACATTGCATGTTAGCGCCCCCAAGTGGCAATAATATGCAACTAACATTCTGCCTTAGGTGGTAATCCAGACTTTATCAATTTAGAGTTTTAAAGAGTTAAAAGAGTTAGAGTTTGTTCGCAGTAATAATTTGTATTCTTGGAAGTGTCATTTGTCACTTCCTGGACATCTTTGTCCCCAATTTCTACATTAAATATGATATAATTTAAGCACAGGTTAAATCTGAGTTGAATGGGATGCACCGTTTGTATCTCTTCCATGCTTTTTCATTAAGATAGGTGTATATTGCTAAATCAGGGGAGTACTTGTTGGATATTTAATAGAGGTGTGAACAGTACTGATAACTCTGTCAACAATTCAGGCTTAAACTGTTTAAATTGTGTGCCGCTACAAGATAATGAAAGTCAGCTGTAAAACTGCTGGTTTATTTCAACAGCCAAAGCAAGATACACCCAGAAGATTTGAGAACTGAATGCATTAATAACCTTCAGATATTAAATGAATACATCATTCAATGATGTTGTTCCTCTGTGTGTCCTGTTGCCTTTCTTCTGTATTAGAATTGTGAGGACCTGCAGTCAGCTTGGTTTGGAGACACTGTCACCATATCAGGAGAAGCTCCTGAATCTGAGCAGAATCCAAGAGCAAGAACAGATGGGGTATGTGGACTCAGCAATAAAGACTTCCTGTTTGCATGTTTTGCTTTAATGACCTGTGATGTTATGTTCATGATTCTAGGTGCCACAAAGCCATTGCTTTCTCACAGGAGAGGAGAGGCCTTCACACGGCTTACAATCAGGTCCGTCTGCCTTAAAATACATATATATCAGTTATAGAAAAGACTGGCAAGTTGGCAAGCAGCGACTTAAATTGATAGAGGAAATGTACTATACTTTAATTAGTACTTACAGTATATAATGTAACACTGAGCGATAATATTTGTATTCATACATTTGACTACTGTCAAATGACTTGCATCATAACATTGGAATGTCGACACTACGTTTTGTGAGATGAAATCATAATGGTTTTATTATAATAATTAATTAATTAATGATCGACTTAACGTTTACAGCACATCTCCTGCAAAGAAAGCAGCAAACAACTGTTTAAATCAAAGCAATACACAAGAAGAAAGGAAGAAAATAAGTGTGTCTACTATAAACAAGTTAGAGAAAATAAATAACAGCAAGATGTTGGTTATTGGTAATATTGAAGGGAGACATTTTGAGTTGTCATTCAAAACTGTCCTCTGAGACAGCGGGTCGAACATTTATTGGCACAGTGTTTTATATTTTGGGGAGTAGTGGCTTGAAGTAGAATATATGAAGGTTAGATGGTGACATGGGATCAGTTCAAAGAGTAGCAATTGAGAATCTGGAGTCTGATATATAAATAAATAAAAAAAGATTATACTATTTTTTTTTTTCCTTTCCCATGCACACCACTCTAATCTGTGAATTTCACATTGACTTCTAGGATGGCACATAGGGAAGGGATCTTCTTTCATGATTTTGTAAACTGATATATTTGTTTTGTATTTTCATTTGTAAATGTTATTATTTTTTATTAAAAACTAAACAATTTGGCAGTTTTAAATAATTGTGGACCATTTCACATTTTAGCCAATTTCGAAAATAGATGTTCTATTTTGTTTAGAAACTGAAGGTGGATGAAGCGGCTGGTTCTGGGCCACAGAGGATGGATGTGTGTGCTCAGGAGATCTGGCTGGACAAGGCGGAGGTGTGCCTCAGCATGGGGCTCTGTCAGCCAGCCAGGCAGCTCCTGGCAGAGACGCACCGTGTGGCTGTGGTGAGTCGAGCAGAAGAAGACCAGAATTTCCAAAAAACGTTACATTTTTGTGTTAATTTTCTCCTCCCTTACAACTTTTCCTAAATGTAATCAGGAGCTTGGAGACAAGAAAGCAGTGGCTAGGAGTCTGCTCAGTCTGGCTGTTCTGGCGTGTGAAGAGCAGAACTACGCCCAGGCTCCGATCCTGCTGGACAAAGCCCGGGCCCTGGGGGGGGTGGAGGAATTCTGGTACCAGCTCACCCTCACCACGGTCAGAGCTGTAGTAGGCCAGAGAGACCCAGACGCACACATCAAGGTACAGAACCACTCCCTTTTACAGCCCTGTGTAGTACAATAGCATTGCTTTGAATACTTTTCCCAAATCATCTGTTTTTCACAGGTTGATCAGATTATAAAACACAGCTGTGGAGCTCTGAAGCGGGTTCTGGAGCAGCGGGTGAACCGAGTACCAGAAATCTCTTTCTTCATCACTTCGTTAGAGATGAGGTAACACCAAGCCTACTGAATGTGTCACTATACCTGCTTAAGATGGCCATAAGCGGTGCTGTCTTTAATGAATCTTTCTGTCATTTTTAAGGTGCACTATCCAGTATGAGTAATTAGGAAGTATACAATAATCATCAGCTTATGTTGAATCTTTATTTGTATATTTACTGAGCTTTTCCCAAAGAATTTGACTTTCAATTTTATTTTTTCCTTATTTACGAAACCAATATTAAAAAAACAGTTTAAGTATTTCAAGGATTTCCTGATCAGAGACACAAAATGTGGGAGGAGGTAAGACAAAATATAGAAATTGCAATCGCATCTGTTCAGACATCTCAATGTAGTTGAGGGAACTATGTGACATTTAATGTCTTGGAAAAGCAGTTGTTAAATCGACAACACATTTTTTTAACTGAGAGACTATAGATATAAATGGTGTTGATACAGATTCTTTGTATATCCTTACTTGTATCATGAAAAGACGGATTAGGATATTATTCTCAGAAATAACTCAACAAAAACAAGGAAACCTACTTTGAACATGTATCTATGCTTGTTCAAATGTATTTCAATGTCATAAAAAGCTAAACAAATGAGTTTTCACTCTAACAATCATTAATTTAATCTAAATGTATCGGGATGTGTTTTGTTAAAGAGGTGCCATTGAATGTGTACGTGCCCTTGGTGGTGACCCTGGAGAGACCCTCAGCAGCAGTGAGACCACCCAGAGGCTGATGTCTGCCTGTGAGACACTCAGAGAGTCTGCCAGTGGCTTCACTAAGCTCGGCTTCAGAGAACACGCTGCAGAGGCACATGTGGAGTATGCAACCGGTCAGAGGTTAGTTGGTCTGGGCAATTCCAACTTTTTTATCGTGTTGTATTAAATGCCATATGCAAAAATTTGCAGGTGAATGGGCATTGACAGTTAAAAAAGTAAACATAAGTTAAACCAGGGTTCAGATGGTTACTTACAAAAATTATTCCGATACAATTACCAGTTAACTGTAAAAAAAAAGTAATCAGTAACCTAATCTGAGTATCAAAACATGGAAGTACAGTATCCTAATCACTTTCTGTTACTTTGCCTCAATATCAAATGCAAAGCAAATAAATAAAAGAGAAAATAAATATCAATAAGATGTTTTTTACTTGTGCTTTTAGTGTATTATGTAAGACAACAGAACAATGTCACCTTAGAAAAGAAGCCAAGATATAAAAAGTATTCAGGCGGTCGCCTTTACACCAACACTGAAACACATGAGCACATACTATAATACAGTTTAAAAAGCAGAAATAAAATCTGAGCTGCTCCGTTTTAGTTTAATACACACAGTTCAGCTCACACAACTTCACAGATTCGTAGTCAGGTTAATTTAAGTTTCATATTTGATTTATTCAGATTACGGCGATACGATTACAGGTCTTTACCACTGGAGAAATTCATGGAGGAAATAAGTACCGTAATTTTCGGACTATAAGGCGCACCTGAATATAAGCCGCAGCAGCTAAATTGAATGATGTGTACATATATAAGCCGCACTGGACTATAAGCCGCAGGTGTTTTAATGTTTAATTACCATATGTAAGGGTTCGTGCACAGAGGGGATTGTCGGGAAAGAGATGGCTGTTTGAGGAAGCTCCGATTTATTAACATTTCAACAAACAAGTTGCATATTTGCATAACGTATTCAAGTGTTAGCATTTAGTGCAATAGTAGCTACAGAACATGTACTGTGCTGTGTAAACTGTACTGTATCACATAGCGTTTCAGACACACAAACTTTTCAACTTTCAAACTTAAACGGTGCACTCCCAGCGCACGTTTAACACCTTTGCACAAACTGTCTCGCTCTCGTAATGTCTGTCTGTCTTGCTCTCGTTCTGTCTCTCGTACCACTCTCAGTTCCACTTTTACTTTTGCGCGCTACCTGTCTCGCTCTTTTCCGGCCTCCAGCTTTTCCTGCTGGAGCCCGCCGCTTAAAGGTGGGGGGCGCGGTGCGGCAATATAAGATAAACATTAATTATATGACATCTCGATGGCTGTACCGTATGTTTAGAAAGTGCTGGATTTGATATGCAGCTTACATTTTTTTCAGAGCAGAGCCTCATTTTAAGAAAAACATTTTTTGTAAACATTCGCATTGTTGAAGACGTGTTGGGCTAATGACATGAAAGCATTGGCCCAGAGCCCTGGTCCAGTTTAACTCATTATGCCTCGTTAAAATTGGATGACAAAATGAACTCTGTGATAGATGTCCTCCCATTTTTTGTGAAAGGGCATAGTCACAATGAAGATTGATTTTCAGGGAACAATCATGCACTCTTAATGACCTCCTCCTGCGAGGGGAGCAGCCTCTGAGCGTTCAGCGCCACATGTTCCTGCTCTGTGACAGCGAGCTGCATCTGGGACAGCCCTTCGAGCAGGAAGCGCTGTCTGTCTGCAGCGGAGGCACGCCTGGCTAGGAGTCTGCAGAGAGATAAACAAAGACAGAGGACAAACAAAGTATGGTTTTTTGAGTGTGGGACAAGAAACGAAAACACGCGAAGAACACATTTGGTCTGAAGTGGCAAGTATGATTCATTAACAGAATGTATGCCTATTACCGTAATTTTCGGACTATAAGCCGCGCCTTTTTTCCCATTTTTCGACCCTGCGGCTTATATAACGGTGCGGCTAATCTATGGATTTTTACAGCTAACGGCCACTAGGGGACCTCCTAAATCTATGGATTTTACAGGTTACAGTCCACCACCTTTAACTCTATAAGGCTCATGGCCGGTCGCGCTGTCCACCTTTATAGCGCGGACATGTTGCACAAGGAAAAGATGTTGCATGGTGCAGTAAAGAGCGAGACATGATGGCAGCGCATGTACAAACGTGGAACTGAGAGATGTACGAGAGACAGAACGAGAAGCAAGACAGCACAGACATTACGAAGCGAGACAGTTGTGCAAGGTGTTAAACGTGCGCTGGAGTGGCACCGTTTTAAGTTGAAAAGTTGAAAAAAGTTTGTGTGTCTGAAACGCTATGTGATACAGTACAGTTTACACAGCACAGTACATGTTTCGTAGGCTACTATTCGCACTA